GGTTGCCAATTTTATCTTGTCCAGACTAGCAGGCCGTCTTTATATAACTTGAATATTTGTCCCTGCAGATTAAAGCGAACTTGCTGACTCAACAAATCTCCCAAGGCACAGTTAGCATTTACTCACTGTACGGAACCTGAAATTCTTGCTTAATGACTACAGCCGAAACCGCATGACCTCTTGTCGTTGTAGACAGACTGGAGTCAACTATTACCCTGTTAGTCTGAAGATAAAATTTAAAAAATCTGTGAAATCAAACGGATCTTCACATTCGTATTCCGGTCACAATGATAATACTGACGTCAATCACGAACCCGTACTCACGAATCACAGGTGAACATCTGACGTCATATCCCGGAGTGTAGGTCAAGGTCAAAATAGAAGTCTGAGACATTAGATCAAGGAAACAGAGCATTTTCGAAGTGTGTCGGGTATTGATGGTATATTGACAGGTTATCGTTGTGCCGTCGACTACAGAACGTAATTCTGAAGAAAGTCTGAAGTGATGCAGTATTTGGCCAACCAAAGTAAACAATTCCCCGCCGGCCAACACGACTTGTCAACATGATGGGAGAGGAAAGGCCCAGATCCGTGAAAATCCGGGGTCGAACAGGTCTTCAGCTACCCATGCCTACCGTCAAAGGCGACTATTCTTGCCGTAAGAGGCGACTAATGGGATCGGGTGGTCAGACTCGCTGACTTGGTTGATGCATGTCATCGTATCCCAATTGCGTGGATCGATGCTCATGATATTAATCACTGGATTGTCTGGTCCAGACTCGATTATTTACAGACCGCCGTCATATAGCTGGAATATTGCTGAGTGCGGGGTTAAACAACAAACCAACCAACCAACCAACCAACCAATCTATCACGAAGTGTCTACATGACGTGGGAGGAAATCCCCAAGTGATGCAGTATTTCAGTTCTAACACGACGTGTCAACATGATATTGGAGGAAATCCCCAAGTGATGCAGTATTTCAGTTCTATCACGAAGTGTCTACATGACGTGGGAGGAAATCCCCAAGTGATGCAGTATTTCAGTTCTAACACGACGTGTCAACATGATATTGGAGGAAATCCCCAAGTGATGCAGTATTTCAGTTCTAGCAAGACGTGTCAACATGATATTGGAGGAAATCCCGAAGTGATGCAGTATTTCAGTTCTAGCACGACGTGTCTACATGACGTGGGAGGAAATCCCCAAGTGATGCAGTATTTCAGTTCTAACACGACGTGTCAACATGATATTGGAGGAAATCCCCAAGTGATGCAGTATTTCAGTTCTAGCACGACGTGTCAACATGACATGGGAGGAAATCCCCAAGTGATGCAGTATTTCAGTTCTAGCACGACGTGTCAACATGATATTGGAGGAAATCCCCAAGTGATGCAGTATTTCAGTTCTAGCACGACGTGTCTACATGACGTGGGAGGAAATCCCCAAGTGATGCAGTATTTCAGTTCTAACACGACGTGTCAACATGATATTGGAGGAAATCCCCAAGTGATGCAGTATTTCAGTTCTAGCAAGACGTGTCAACATGATATTGGAGGAAATCCCGAAGTGATGCAGTATTTCAGTTCTAGCACGACGTGTCTACATGACGTGGGAGGAAATCCCGAAGTGATGCAGTATTTCAGTTCTAGCACGACGTGTCAACAGACGTGGGAGGAAATCCCGAAGTGATGCTGTATTTCAGTTCTAGCACGACGTGTCAACAGACGTGGGAGGAAATCCCGAAGTGATGCTGTATTTCAGTTCTAGCACGACGTGTCAACATGACGTGGGAGGAAATCCCGAAGTGATGCTGTATTTCAGTTCTAGTACGACGTGTCAATATGGCGTGGGAGGAAATCCCGAAGTGATGCAGTAATGAACGTTGTGTTATGTATTAATGCGCCACTGCGATCATGAGAATAGACAAAATATGCATCGATTCCTTGCTAAAATGATGCGTTTGATGGTGTGTCAGAAACAGATGACAGCATAAGCGTCTGTCAGATACCATTTGTCGTACAACTCAGATACATTTTTGAAACAACTCCTTGTATGCTAGGGGGCACGGGTGGCCCAGTCGTCTAAGGCGCCGCGATTCGCTGTGCAGAGTTGCGTCCCTTGGGCACGCCAGAAACCTATGATTGTGGGTTCGAATCCAGGTTCGCCCCGATTATGTTTCTAGGTTTGTCAGCATCATACCCGTGCTCGTGGGTTTCACCGAAGTGGTAAACGTCTGAGACCTGCATCACTTCGGGCTTTCCTCCCACATTAAGCTGACACGCCGTGATATGACTGGAATACTGTTAAAAGCGGCGTTAAACCCAACTCACACACACACACTCCTTGTATGATAAATGGCATCTGCCAGACAACGTGCAGTAATCTCATTCTGTAACACGATGTCAACCTCCAGGCGAGCTTGATACAGTCTGAAAGCATGATCTATTGTTTTTGTTCTGCTTCAGATCCGGCGAACAAAGTGTTGCACTGTTTGTGCATTTCTCTAACCCTCTCTTCGATCGCTGCTGCACAGGTGCACATCACCATGAGCCTCGGTATACCACGCTGTCACCATTAGCCTCGATATACCACGCTGACACCATTAGCCTCCATATACCACGCTGACACAATTAGCCTCGATATACCACGCTGTCACCATTAGCCTCGGTATACCACGCTGTCACCATTAGCCTCCATATACCACGCTGACACCATTAGCCTCGATATACCACGCTGTCACCATTAGCCTCGGTATACCACGCTGTCACCATTAGCCTCGATATACCACGCTGACACCATTAGCCTCAGCATACCACGTTGTCATCATTAGCCTCGGTATACCACGTTGTCATCATTAGCCTCGGTATACCACGTTGTCATCATTAGCCATGGTTTCGTGCACTCCTGGTAAGCCAGGATAAGTTGAGTGGTGACCCGACAATTAACTCAATAGGGGCGGTCGGGTAGCCTAGTGGTTAAAGCGTTCTCTCGTCACGCCGAAGACCCGAGTTCGATTCCCGACATGGGTACAATGTGTGAAGCCCATTTCTGGTGTTCCCCGCCGTGGTATTGCTGGAATATTGCTAAAAGCGGCGTAAAACCATACTCACTCACTCATTAACTCAATATGAGCATGTGTAAGGCCCGCCCCGCCCTCTTGTGAAGAAAGAGGTAGAGGGTGGCCCGCGACAAGACGTGGGATGGATGTGTGGGTGTCCTGTCTCGGCTAAGAACGAGTTCTCGTTCAAAAGCACATAATAGTTCGCGATTATGTGAGGTGCCCGATGACTGTGAAAATGGTGACAGCTAATTTGAAAAAGTGACAACAATTGAGAAGTATGGTGACTCTGTAAGGAATTTGTGTGCTGTAAAAACTGAACAGCGAGTGATTGAGTGAGTTGTGTTTAACGCCGCTTTTAACAGTATTCCAGTTATATCGCGGCGTGTCAGCTTAATGTTGGAGGAAAGCCCGAAGTGATGCAGGTCTCAGACGTTTACCACTTCGGTGAAACCAACGAGCACGGGTATGGTGCTGACAAACCTAGAAACACAATCGGGGCGAACCCGGATTCGAACCCACAATCATAGGTTTCTGGCAGGCTCAAGGGACGCAACTCTGCACAGCGAATCGCGGCGCCTTAGACGACTGGGCCACCCGTGTCACCATGCCCACTCAACTGGTTCATGTGGCGTGTGTTTTCTTCATCCTCACCGACAAAACAAACACGAATATCACACATGTTGGTTAATATTAGGAAATACTCATATTCAAGACATTATAGATTGGTTCGACGCACAAACGAAAATACTGGTATACTGTGTGACCCGCTCATGAACGCATCGGGGGCGGTCGGGTAGCCTAGTGGTTAAAGCGTTCGCTCGACACGCCGAAGACCCGGGTTCGATTCCCGACATGGGTACAATGTGTGAAGCCCATTTCTGGTGTCCCCCGCCGTGATATTGCTGGAATATTGCTAAAAGCGGCGTAAAACCATACTCACTCACCCATGAAGGCATCGCATGTGACGTCATAGATCCATGACTGGAGATGCACCATTTGTCTCGTGCAGGATTATCGTGTGAAGTTTGGAAATCACGTACAGAAGATCGTGATAAGAATAAAGACACTGTGGTAACACCTGACTGAGAGCTAGTTTTGTCATTAAGGGGTACACATTGGAAACATCAATTCTTAACGTACATACTTTACTTTATGTCTTATGGATCGCGTTTTTCTGGCTGTGAGTATATTTTAAGTCTTTCTTTCATATAGGTTAATACATGTTCGTATTAAAAGTCAACAAAAATCAACAAACTCAAACATGTGTACATATACCATGACGACCGAAAAACCCACACCAAGACCCACTGACTGAAGCACAATTGCCACCTGTTTCCATGTCATGGCCATTATTGCTTTATGACCGGACCAGGTGGTAGTATATCGCCCCCAGCTGGTGGAGTGCAGATAAACCTAATAGCATTACGTAGATATGTATATGCCTTGTAGGTGAAGATAGCCTTCTGGGGACTCCTACTTGGCGTCTTGATCAGTTACATCATGGTACGTGAGGTTATCATGACCTGGGTATTTTTACAAGCGAGATTTTATCGAAACAAAATAAATTGTCCCCGAAAATAATTATGCTTCGGATTGTTGAAAAAAAGAAATTAGGTCTACAAAATGACATTGTTGAAGGGCGTTTATCTTAAAACTGATTCAGGCTGATGTTTTTAAATTTTTATAAATAATCTAGGTTACTCACTCACTCACTCACTCACTCACTCTCTCTCTCTCTCACACACACACACATACACACACAAATATACACACACATACATATTCACACATACACACACATGTACAAATATACACAGACATACATACTCACACACACACACACACAAACACACACACACACACACACACACACACACACACATACATACATACATACACACACTATAAAACACATGCTATAAAACAACACCAATGCTTTTAATTATTCATTCTTTATATCATAATAGAGATACAATGTAGAATTAGTTTCTATTTGTGGTATGTCTATAATTCATCAAGTGTCAACGTGTGAGTTAGTACAATAGTCCAATACTCCTGACTTGGCTTTATAATGCTGTTAACATCAATATTACGATTAATGCTTACTTACAGTGAAACTCCATCACACCGAGACGTACCATATCCAGGTTAGCAAGTGTCAAGAACAATTGGCCCTCGGGTTCTAGACTATAGCTAAGGAAATTCCACTGTACATGTTTATGTACAAGTACACTTTATGTCAAACATGTGTATGGTCACGATGAAGCTACACTCATCCCGTCACTACAGCTCACTCGCCACGTCAGAACTAACATCTTTTAACCCTCCGAGTATATATGGGTGGGTTCCCTGTACACTTGTAAATAGACTCGTAAGTAAATGTTAAGTGAATATAAACATTTCAAACATTTGTTCAACAGCAGAGAGAACTTGTCAGAAATCTCGTCGAAGAACATGTCGGATAACTTGTCAAAAAACTTGTCAAAGAGCTTGTCAAAGATCGTGTCAGGTAACTTGTCGAAGAACATGTCAAAGAACTTGTCGAAGAATATGTTAAAGAACTTGTCAAAGAGCTTATCGAAGAACCTGTCAAAGAAATTGTCAAAGAGCTTGTCAAAGATCGTGTCAGATAACTTGTCGAAGAACATGTCAAAAAACTAGTTAAAGAACTTGTCAAAGAACTTGTCAATGAACTTGGTAAAGATCGTGTCGAAAAACATGTTAAAGAACTTGTCAAAGAACTTGTCGAAGAGTTTGTCAGATAACTTGTCAATGTCACAGAAATCACGGAACATCGCATATCCACGACACTCTGTATTATTCACGACACACTTAACATAGCACACATGTATGTCACAAACACCTCGATACTGGTCGGTCGCAGTGTGGCATCAATACTCCCACACAGACACTGTGCTGTTCAGACAGATTTGTCACAACTCAAGATCCATGCATAGGACACTGCTCATCACTTTTTATGTGTTTTTTTGTTTTGATTTCTTGGTTTGTTCGGGTGTAATCTGGAGGAAGGGTGAGTTTCTAATCCGGAACAGCTGGGGCTTTCAAGTCCCTATACTGTTTGGCGAACATCTTAAGAACCACTATATACTCACTCCGAATGTTCATAAAACGTTATATCTAATTCTTTGTGTTCCATCAGTTCAGAACACGGCGTTCTTAAACCCCTTTCCTTCGATTCACCATCCGCTCAGACACATTGAAAGGTTCCAAACCACAAATCTTTCTCATCATATATGTTGGAAAAAATCTCCGAATAACAAATACTCAATTTGATACCTAATAAATGAATGCTTAATGTAGGCCAACCACGCGGACCTTAATACCAATCAGGATCAAAACTGAGCCTCATATGTTTGCTTGGGGTTCTGAACCTTGAGAGGCTGTGCCCCCGACATAATGTACAGGCTTTGTGGCCTGTTTCTCCGGGGGTGGTGATAGCGGTGAGAGTCATACACATGCCCAGGTCGAAGAATCGTGGGTCTGGCGTAAGTCTTCTCAATTGGTTTCGGAACCGTTGATGGCACCATGAAGTCCGAACTGAGTCTCATTGACCTCGACTTCTGATCATGAGCTATTCTCATAGACCTGGAATCAAACTTCACCCGCACACTGTTTTTCGCAGAAGCATGTCCATCGGCAACCCCATTGGTCGGTACGCTGATGCCATTCTGTTTGACCGACTGATGTGATTTGTCACCAGCAGGTGACGGGACTGCCATGACGCGAGGCGTCTTGTCCTCAAGATGGCTACTACTGAACTCTCTCTTTAACACACTAGCAACCTCAGATGTCTTGATGTAAGGGTGACGGGATGCCTGCCCTGGAACCGTCTGGACGCCAAAGCTCCTATAATCTGGCTCATCACTGAACACTTCGTCTTCGTTGTCTGTAGGGAGAGAAAGCTTTGGAACCATTTTGGGCGGTTCTCTGTTGGACACATACACCCTAGCCATACCTTCTGGGGAACTGCTTACAGTCGAGACTTTTGTATCGTTGTTATTATTTTCCTCTCCCTCTCTGGCCCGACGGAAGTGTTCTTCAACACTGATACCGGTGGACTTTTCCAGAAGGAACTTGATCTCTCGGAGCTCCTGGGAGAGAGACTCTAGTTCATCCTTGAAAGCGGACACATCTGAGACTTCTGACATCTGGTCCATGTCAATGTCATTGGACTTGGTCTGGATGCCGATGTTATGCTGCGGACGACCTTTGAGGAACACCTCCTCCTTGGTCACACCTTCAGGGTCAGGAAGCAAGGTAATATCATTCATCGGGGCGTGATTGACGTGTCTCACGTCGCCATTGACGGGCAGGTGTGCGGGTTTACCGTTAGGAATCTGAAGAAGCTGTCGAGTAGGAGGGGCACTACGGTTGCGGAGTGTCCAGTTCCCATCCTGCTTGCGCTTCATCTCATAGTCGCCTCCCCTACTTCGGCTTTTCCAAGACTTGAAATGTTGCACGAATAGTCCCGCATCAAGGTCGGATGAGCACCTGAACGCTAAGATTGCGTATTTATGCTTTACATCACGGACAATGCACAAAAGACACGATCTGTTCTGTTGATTGACTGTCATGAAGAATATGTCCGCCATTCGGTAAGTATCAAACAAGGACGATGACTGGAACATTGCGGGTTTCCTGATCTGGACACCATCTTTGGACAATCGGATCTTCACCTTCTTGCCTTTATCGGCCTCTGATTTGACTCTGAGTTGACGGATGATGTTGTCCGAGACCACGTCTCCCCTCCATACTCCCACAAAGTAGGCCTTCCGTTCTAACACGTCAGCAGACATATTGTTTATTGCTTGCAGTACGTTCTGTTATATATCTGAAAAGAGGGAAACGGAACAAAGTAAGGGTTTTGTACATTACCTCAATTTTTTTAACAAACGACCATACGATCTCTTTAGTGTTAGAGTGTTTGGTGTTTTGTTTTTTTGTTTTACGCCGCAATATTTCAGCTGTATGACGGCGGCCTGTAAAATATCGAGTCAGGAATAGACAGTGATTGACATCATGAGTATCGATCTACGCAACTGGGATACGATAACACGCAATCAACCGAGCTTGATCAGACACGTGACGATCCTGGTTAAAATTGGTCTTCCTTGCTTGTCGTAAGAGACGACTCATGGGATTCCAGACTCGATTATTTACAGACCGCCGTCATATACATGTGGCTGGAATATTGCTGAGTGCGGCTTTAAACAAAGGACAAACAAAACAAACGAATCTTATTGACATGATCTACATACCCTGAATAAATAAATCATCTAACATATTTTTACTGTAATAATATTGAGTAAATGAAAGAGACTGCCTTGTTTTTCGAACTTTAAAGTAGGTTACCGAGCAAATAGAAACGTACCCCACACGTACCCGTCTGGAAGTAATTGAGGAATTAACATAAGCGGAATTCCACAGTGCAGGGTGAGGCGAGTGCTCAGCATACAAGCTCAACACGCCTTGACAAACACCCCCCTTTGTCAGCCCGAGACTAACAGAACGACTGCCCCTGGGTCCAGTGTCACGGGGTGAGAGGGTCAGGAGGGGGTGGGGGTGCAACTGACATTGTAAGGAAGGGGGTGAACGAACAACACGCGACCCCTGTGATGGAGAGGTACGAGCATCAATACACACTATGTTGAAGTAGATGAAGCTGTGAGTTGGCTTGAGGTACGGGTGTACAGACGTGGCTCCCCCGGGGGGTGGGGGGTGGGGGGGTTGAAGGTGAAGGAGGGAGACAGGAGTTCAAGTCACCCATGAGGTATTTTGTGTCTTAAGGTTGGGTGTAGGTTTACCTGGGTGGCAGAAGGGTCACGCGTCGTTCCAGAGGGGGAAGCGGTACAGATGGCACCCACCCACCCACCCCGAATACCCCACCGCACCCCACTCCATCTCTTTTGTAAAGGATTTTAATCATGTTTACTTATAAAAATGTATAACTGAATCATTTTAACAAAAAATATCAACCAGTGTTAATTTGAGACTTTCAAACGCAAATTGTTTCCCGAATGAATTAATTGCATACATTTGTATTTTAAGTGCATCCCTCACTCTTCACAACCGCTGTGTCCCTAGCGGACGGATTGGGAACTGCTAGGAAGGACAAGGTATTGTTTTATGGCATAGTAATTTATTGTATTGTTAAACAATGATTTAACTGTGTTACATTGTTTCTGTTGGGATTTCGTAGAAGTTCATTACATTGTATTTCGACAAGGATTAGTTGTCTGCGGAATGTAGTACTATTTAATATAAGCAGTGGTGGAGAAGTTATTATATTCAGATGCTCCAATTATCTGTAAACTTCCGGAATAGTATGGATGGATGTCAATCGTTATCGAAACATGTGGAATATTCTGTGGTGTTCAAGTGACACTGGACTGGTCTGGCACTGTGTGAAAAGTGCTAGAGCTAGTATGATTATATAAGGGGAGCGGGCGACTGCCTGTTTCATCTCACATTTCATCTCACATTACATCAAGACCAGCTCTTGCGTGATGATCACTTATCATCCCGGATGCCTGGCCTTAGTCTGTCTAGAAAGCTTGACCACTGTTACGGATAAGTGATGTCACTATTTTATTTATATCACCAGTGCCATCATAATTTGTATTTGATACTGCCATTGAATATTGCACTACCACTCCATTGTGCACTGCCATTGTAATTGCTATGCAGTAATTTATATTGAATTATAAACCTAGTAAATTGTGTTATACAATTAACGATTGTTTCACACTAAATTCTTTCACGAGAATATTTCTGGGTTAACTAAGTGTTTCAATTTGGAAATCGACACGTAACAGTAAATACAGTAAACTACGGTTATAACGAAGTCAAAGGGACCACTGATTTTATTTCGATATAACCGTAGTTTGTTATAAGCATATATACAGCATGTATACAGCACATGGCCGGGGCCAAAAATATGTTCGTTATATCCGTCAGTTCGTTTTAAGCGTGTTCGTTATAAACGTAGTTTACTGTAGTTGTGAAAGGTAAATAATGTGAGGCGTTTCTTCTGGAGATGGCTACGTGAGTTAGTGAGTGAGTGAGTGAGTGGGTGGGTGGGTGAGTGAGTTGGAGAATTGGGTGAGTGAGTGAGTGAGTGAGTTGGAGATTTGGGTGAGTGAGTGAGTGAGTGAGTGAGTGAGTGAGTTGGAGATTTGGGTGAGTGAATGAGTGAGTGAGTTGGGTTTCACGCCGCTTTTAACAGTATTCCAGTTACGGCACGGCGTCTACGGCAAGAGACATGACACAACTTCCCCGGGGGATCTTGTGACAGTGATGTCACGTCAGGTGCATGTACGTCTTACATTGGGTACATCAGATGTCAACACACCTTGAAATATAGCGTGTCATGGTGGTAAGAGATGCGACGATATGTTCTGCTTTGCTTTGTATCCCAAATGTGACACTAGTTTATGCACTGGTGATTATCACACATGCATAGTGTTTTTATTAGAATTCCTTAATAATAAAATTCCATCTCTTGAATAACAAAAACATGTTTTTAATTACTAATATATTATTACATAGAGTATACATAGAGGAGATGGGCACCAAATGCCCTTGTATATTGCACAGGGAGTTCTATATCATTAAAACAGTTAATCATAAGCATATAATGATATAAAGAACTTGTTGGTTTTGTCAGATTATACTTCGGTCATTGCCCTTTCCTTCTGACGTGACCTTGTGACGTGACCTTGTGACCTCTAAAGTGTGGTTTCCCATCATACCAAGTCTTTTATCACCTGCCTCGGGCACGTCAACGGATTGCAGATGTTATATAACAGTTCGTTTAACGGCCTGTTGAGTCACAGATGCGTGTCCAATCACAGCTGATTGTGTGACCTCACATGCGTGACGCGAGAGTAATGAGTTAGCTTCTGATGGTTGATGCCATGTGGAAAACTATTACGATGCAATTCTTTGTCGAAAGACGTAGTTACGCCCGTGTTGTGTGGCTGTATCGTGGTCTAAAGGTTCGTCTGATAAGAGGAGCTTTGATGCAGTAGTGACCTTTCACGATCGTTTCCAAATCCATATTCTTCAGGAATTGAATGTGATGCAAGCGTTCGTCGTTGTGTCCTAATGGTTGTGGATTATGTCCGATCAAGGAAACGGGGCACCGTTCCACAAAGCAATCTTTGTGCTATGATTGTCGTAAGCCTATTTTAAAGTATGGGAGTTACGATCATCTTAGCGCTAAGATCGCTTTGTGGAACGGGGCCCTGAAATGTTGTTTTACGACTGTCAGCATTGTGGCAGGCTGTGACAAGCAAACCAATGGTTTATAGCCTATAAACAAGGCTAACGTTGTCGGGATGTGATCAGCGGTGCAAACTATTGAATCTTTTGCCTTTAAAGCATGCTCTTACGTCACTGTAGAAGTGCTATGACGTCCAAATCATGCCACGTACCACCCGCGGCCCGTTCCACAAAGTGATCTTAGAGCTACGACGATCGAAAGCCAATGTTAACGTTGTGTTGCGATCCCCGAAGCGCTAAGATCGCTTTGTGGAACGGATCCCTGCACAGTAAGTTTTAATTAATGCCTTTGGTTTAATTAAATATGATAAAACGTGGTCCGTGAAGGGGGCGGAGGGAGAATAAACATTGACGCTTGAAAAAGAAAGTGCACAGTCGGTCATACAACTAGCCTTGACAACTCCTGACATTATGACGCGAGGTTTGAGATACTCCCCGACCGCCATGTGAAGGCTGTACATTACAGTTGCAATTGTGTATATTATTTGGATTGGAACATGTACCTGCGGCTGTATTTCTGATTAACAAATGGGAGGGACTTAAAGTTGACCACGCCCACCCCCAAACCCGCCCCCGACCTAATACCCACTTCACCCAACCCCCGACCTAACACCCAAAACCTAACACCTCACCCAAACTCCGAACGAATTCACAAACCATCCCACCCCGACCTAATACCCACCCCACGATATGGCCCTTAGCATGTCTTAAGGTAGGCTAACGGTTAGTCCCGGAAATATATATATATATTATTTTTTTCCGGGACTAACCGTATATATATATTTATTTATATAAATTTTATATATATATAGATCTAGACTTGCCAAATCATTCTATATAGATCTAGACTTGCCAAATCATTCTAGACTTGAGCTGGATTTTTATTTTTAATATATTCTCTGGGGTCTGGAAATCAGACTGGTCTGAGACAGCTCATATCGAATCACGGTGACTTGCTGTTTGCTGTGTGGCCGAATGTGGGGATCAGTGTAAGGGAAGTAACTCTAGTTAAACTAAACAGTCCAAAGAGCTGTCTTGGCATGTGTGTGTCCCTATATGGATACATTTCAGTTGAAGCAACCTCATTTGTTTGAATACTATATTTTGTTTATAAGTTAACATGTTTTTTATGACTGTGTTTGTGACGGGTGCCACCGGGTGCCACTTTGTATCATGACTATTTGATAGTGATTCAGAAACACACGCTTATGATACAGTCGGAAACGTGAGGTGGTGAGGTGAGGTGAAATTTGGGTTTAACGTCGCGTCCAAGATTATTGCACTCATATAGCGACGTGCATGCACGTGTGTGTGTGTGTGTGTGTGTGTGTGTGTGTGTGTGTGTGTGGCTGCTTGTACTAGTCCGGACTGATGCCGATTTATAGTGCTAGCTCACTGAGATACAGTTTAACATGAATACCCCACACTGACACAGAATACTGACTCTGAGCCGACCAGTCCATGTTTTAGCCCCTTAATGCCGAGCGCCAGACAGGGTAACAACAAGTACCACCTTTGGTATGACGCGGCAAGGGATCGGACCCCGGA